GAAGATGAAGACTGATGTTTTCTTGAAGCCTGTAGATAGTTGAAGATGACTTGAAGTCAGATGTTGATGAAGACTGCTTTTGCTGCTGATTTTTGCTGTTTATAATTTTTGATGTATTGGTTGAATTTCCCTGACTGTATTGCTTGCTGTTTAACCTGTTAGGTTGAAGGTGAATTCTGTTCACTTTTGCCTATTGTTTTCTAGGTTCGAGGTTGAGTGGGACTCCCTTGCCTCGCTTGTATTGTTGCATCCATGCATTTTACTGCTTTATTGTATATTTGCTATTGTTTCTGTTTCCGTTTATCCCTTAGGATCTCTGTTTCTCTCTGCGCAAGAGAGGAGCATGATAGACATTAGGAGCTAACCCATGTATGATAACATTAGGGTAGATTTTATCCCCTTTTCAACCCTAGGATTTGTAGAGTGTCATCTCTTCTTTCTTCAAACAACAGAAAAACATTAATAAAGGTTATAACAGAGATCAATTCATTTCTTCCGTCAAAAGATATGAACAAACACAAACCTTTTTGCAATAAGAAAACCCTTGTTGAAGGTGAGATTTTTCATAAAAGACATTTGAACAGCTTGTGTCGTGCGTAGCCCGAACTACGTTTGCTCTGATCTTTCATGCTGTATGAAAGTACGTAGGCATATGATGCGATATCCTAGCGAGCAACCTTCCCCACCTTCCCCCGTAGTTAGGCGAACTACGTTGACTCTGATTTCTCGTTCCAGACGGGAATACGTAGGCATAAAGTGCGATGCTTTACCGAGTCATGTTTTCTTTCCTTTGCAGACCTCATCCTTTAGTTTAGATAGAAGTGTAATCCGTACAAACCAAGCAAGCGTGGATCCCATCGAGTACGATGGACGTGAGGGGTGCTAATACCTTCCCCTTGCGTAACCGACTCCCGAATCCAGGTTTTGGTTGCGATGACCATACCTTTTCCCATCTTTGTGTTAGGTTTACTTCGAGCGTTTCCTTTCCCTCCTTTGGGATAAATAACGCACGGTGGCGACTCTTCTGTTCAGCCGGCGCCGATTTTCGCAGTAGCGACACCTATGCGAGTCAATCCTAACGCTTGTCTGTTGTGCGTCTTTGGGTGTTTACTTTTGTGCAGTTATTTTGCTTTATGTACATTATCTGTTGCATATTATTGCATTGGCATTTTGTTGTTGCTGTACTGTGGGGTGGATTGTTCCATTGAGTGATAAGCCAAAACCCAGGCTTGAGTATACACACAGGATTAGTATGAAGAGTAACAAGAGCTTGTGTGGCGTTTGGCCATGCAATAGCTCGTGCAAAATTCATGTTCAGATGAGGTTTTTCTTTGTAAATATTCTATCCTGCACGTCTGGTGCAGTTGAGGGAGTATTGACTTAGAAAGACTAACGACTCTGGAGACCATTCATTGAGAAGTTAGCTAAGTGTGACCGCTTTGTTAGACTATGATGCCAAACCAGAAATGGTGAACGTATCATCGTTTTTCGAAAGTCTGTGACGCTGATAACCTGCATAGGATGTCGTACCTTTTAAGACTGTGCTCATCTTTGGAAAGTCTACTCAGAAAAGTTGTGAGTTAAAATAAGCAATAATTTCACTATCTACAATGTATTTTTCTAATTCAGTGATCAATAGGTTAGTGAGAAAGTCGAACGTGCTTTGGCGAAATCGTACCATGATAAACTGGATGATAGGTATGTTCCTTTAGACGGATTAGTATTTTGAAAGTTTCAAAATCCATTATTAATATTATAGATTATGTTATATCTGTGTCAGGTCTTCACCACCAGGGAAAAAGAATCTGCAGCTTCATTTCAAAACAAGAATGCCACCATATTTGTTCACGGGAGGGAAGGTTGAGGGAGAGCAAGGAGTGGTCATCCATGTTGTCTTCTTGCAACACTATCATTTCAAGCATCAAGTAAAATCAGCATTACCCGAATTCGTGTTCTACTAAGTTATATTACAATCGTATATTTCATTGTACAATATCTTATTTGATTATGATGAGTTATTGTGAAATCTCAAAACACGTAAGTGCATTATTTCTTCTTATTTTCATTTCTTCTTGATTTTTAATTGTTGTTCTTACATTATAGTGACCAACCTCTGGTTATTCAATGTGTTGGAGTTGGAAATGACACAACTGTAGCTGGTGTCATTAATGATATTATGGATATTCAGGATTTATTTCCTTGAGGGTTGCATGTTATTCTCAGCTATAACAAGTGTTCAAGCATGTGGTAATATGTTTAGTGCAAATCATTCTTCCTAACATAGAATCACAAGCATATTACATCATTTTATTTCTATAGTTTTTTATTATGAATTAATATTGACTAACATGTGTGGATCTTGCAGGGGGTTATGAGTTATGACCTACTATAGGAGGTAGTCTGCTATTTTCCTCACATGTTACCAGACATGGTTGGACTTCTTAATGTACATAAAGTCGCACAGTTAAATACACAAGTTCTATTCTTATTTCATGTTAAGTTATATGTTTTTTTTTTGGTTTCATCTCTCTCCACACACCCTGTTTTCTATAACCTACCATTTCCTTTCTTTTTGTTCGATCTGAACAAGCTTGTGTTGATTGTAGTTATGCATGCATACTGTTTGATAAAAAGCTACACTGAATGTAATATTTTGTTGTACTTATTTGTAGCCTTTTGTTAATTGCATTGTACCTTTTTCACAAGAAGCAATGGAGAGTAGTAGATCAGAGCTGGTATGATTCTCTTTGTTGATAGATGATATTGATACTGATAGTTACAAAGCATGTAACATTCCTTTAAGGTTCCTTTCTAATGATCCAACTGTTCCCACTCCCACCGAGTTATATTGGATTAATCTCTTATACTGTGGTATCCCTTCATTCAAGTATGTTCTCTCTTACTAGCTGATTGGTTCTGCCGTTATAAATATTGGTTTCGTATAAAGTGAGTTGAATGTAAAATTATTTATACTTGTAAACATTTATGTAAAGTGGGTTTAAGAAATTCGAGACTAAAATTCAATTTTAGAGGCTAAAGCCTCAAATTCTATAATATCAATGTTAAAACAATTATGTAGGCAAAATCAATATTACTCGAGAACATTCAAATTCTAGACGATGATTTGAAGGTGATGTACATGTCCTTATTCAATATCATTATGTATATATGCATGGATATCTTAATGAATTTGACTTGGTGACTGTATGAAACAATGATTATGTGTTTGTCTAACCTGTAATTTTTTCTGTTACAATTTAGTTTTTTTGTATTCGTTATATCCTTGAATGATTTGCAGGTTGAGAGAATGGTGAGCAAGGCAGACAGATTTTCAAAAGAGGACAAAGAAAAAGAGTGAAATTGAACTGTGTTATTAATTTCATTGAAAACTTTAACTCGTAAAAAGTAAGATGTCGGGTGTAGCAGATATTGAAATTGAACTGTGTTATATTTAGGACTAACCAACAAATAGTAGACTCATAAGTATTATATTTATGAATTGTCTATGGTTCACTTTTTTGCAAATTCTTATTGTATACCTATTTCAATTATAACTTTGTCATATATGTTATAATAATTCCTTCATGTTTATATGCTAGCGTGATTTATTTTAATGCTACATTGTGTCTTGTGATGTTCTGCTTTTTGATCCCTGCATCAGTGTGCTTGAATAGACAATACTTTAGAGTTTTGTCCATTAAGTATATTTTATAAAATATTTCCTACCTTAATCATATTTTGTAACTTATAATAAATATGTAAGGTTTTTAATGTCTCTTAATATGTATTTATTTAATGATCTTTAAACTATATAAATGTTACATTAATAGTATGAAATTGAATTGTCTCTTAATATGTATTTATTTAATGATCTTTAAACTATATAAATGTTATATTAATAGTATAAAATTGAGTTTGTTATGCATGAAGGAAAATGTTACCGTTCCACGCAATAAAATGAGAAAAGATACTTTAATGGAGTTTGGTTGTAATGTTGATAGAAATGAAAATAACAAAATAAAATAAAATAATTAGAAATAAATAAATAAAATAAAATATTTGTAATTTTAAAAATTAATTATATTTTCCAATTATATATCTCAATTTACTTAACTACTTTATTAATTAGTATTTAATATTAACCAAAATACTCTACTCTTATTTTATTATTGAAATTAATGTATTAAATGTTTGTCTTTAATATAAAAGTAATGAATATGATTTGTTTAAATAATAATAAATCGATATTAACCTCTCTTCTATTTTTTTTAGGTTAAATTAATATCGTGCAGTACATGCTAATGCTATTCATAATTTGTATTGTACACTAAAGCCACACTCTGAAATCTATGGTGTTATGGTTGGATATATTAATATGTTGTGATACGAGACAAAACCAATTAGATTCAAATAAGAAATCATGTATAAATATTGCTTTAAAAAATAAAAAGTCTAAAATTCTGATTATTATATATTTCAATCTTTTCACTGTAATGTTTAAAATCTTATTCAAATACTTTATAAATTTATACGAAATACAATCAGTTATATTCAAATAAAAAAACATACATAAATACTGCTCTTAATGTGCATTTGAATATAATTCAAATATCAAACATGTTTAATACTATATCTTATTTGAATAAAAAAATATACATAAATACTAGTGACAATATAAATGAGATGGTAAAGATAACGTGAGTTTGGATCTTGTCTGGTTGATGGGGAAAATAAAACAAAATTACATTAAAGAAAAGAAAAGTAAAGGCCACCTAAGTTGGTTTCCATTGGTCGGTTTTAGGAGACGCGGATCGCCAGGTAAGTGACAGTGAGCCACAGATAAGTTGAAATCCAACGGTGGATTTGTTTTCAAAGCAAGAAGTTGAAAATGACCGCGAAAGTATAAAACCCTGCCAACGCCTATAGTACTGGTATCTCATTCATTATCTCCAATTCTCTCTCAAATTCTTAGAACGCCGTAAATTAATTTGAATCAGAAAATGGACGCAAGCACAAAGGTGAAGAAAGGAGCCGGAGGAAGGAAAGGAGGAGGACCAAGGAAGAAATCGGTGACAAGATCTGTTAGAGCCGGACTTCAATTTCCAGTCAGTAGAATCGGTCGTTTTTTGAAAAAAGGAAGATATGCTCAGCGTGTTGGAACTGGTGCTCCGGTTTACTTGGCCGCTGTTCTCGAATATCTCGCTGCTGAGGTAAATTACTTTCCCTTTTTCTGTTTGTATTTTGATTGCTATTAGTTAGAAATTTTGGATATAATTTTGATGAATTGTTTTTATACGTGAAGGTTCTCGAGTTAGCCGGAAATGCAGCACGTGACAACAAGAAGAATAGAATTAGTCCAAGGCATTTGTTGTTGGCTGTGAGGAATGATGAAGAGCTTGGAAAATTACTTGCTGGCGTTACCATTGCTCATGGTGGTGTTCTTCCTAACATCAACCCTGTTCTTTTGCCTAAGAGGACTGAAAGTGCCTCTTCTTCTGCTAAGGAACCTAAATCTCCATCCAAGGCCAAGAAAACTCCCACCAAGAAAACTCCCACCAAGAAAGCTTAGATCCACAGACTTTACTTGAGTTTTTCCCCCCCTTATGTGTTGATATATCTTGAGCTTAGCTTTTAGGCGTCTCTTTTTAATGCATAACAAGCAATCAATGTAATTCCTATCTCATGATTTAATGAAATCCTTTTATTTTTATTAATCCACTATGCTTTTTTGTTTGTTTGTTTATGATAAACAATCCACTATCAACTATTTTACATTTATACTAAGAACCTGCATCCTTTCTCAAGTGATTGGTTGCCGATAGATTTTTCATATAATTAGTGGTTAGTTTTAGAATTTTGTTATAAAATGGCTAATTAAGGTTCAGAGTTCTATTATCTGAAGTGCTTTCTTTCATGTTCTAGATGCATCATTTCGATAGCTTAATCTTAGTTTAGTTACCTCTCTCTAATGTATAACTAGTAACGTAATTCCAATGCTCTCTTTGTCATGAGTTAGTGAAATCTTTTTATTATCCGTTCACATTTCTTTGCCTTCTATGATGAGCTATCCTTTCTAAGGTATGACAATCTATCCATTATTATTTATTGAATAGTTTAGGCATATAACATGGACCCATGGGATTGATTACTTTAGTTATTTATCCTACAGTGGATGTTTGTTTTAGATTTTTCACAATTATTCTATTATCTCAACTCCTTTAATACATGTTTTAGATTTGTCACATTTACGATTATAATATATCTCTGTTTTCTGTGATAGTTGAAAAATAACTGTTGATTTTTCAAATTTAATTTTGGTGACTCACATTCTAAGACATGTGCTAAAATTTATGTGGAACCAATTATCTAAACTACACATTTCGACAGTGTTTTGAGGGAAAATTTTAACATAAATATAAGGTTTGACTGAAACGAAAGGATGTAAATTTGTAAAAAGACAAAGTAAAGAACTTTTAGAAATATTTAACAAAGTAAAACAAAATGTGGGGAAGATAAAGATAAAGATGATGTGTTTACTAACTCATTTTGAAGAGTTTATTTTTATTACTTGTTTACTTTCAGTGAAACTTATTTTACATCTTCCCCACATTTTGTTTTACTTTGTTAAATATTTCTAAAAGTTCTTTACTTTGTCTTTTTACAAATTTACATCCTTTCGTTTCAGTCAAACCTTATATTTATGTTAAAGAGTTTATTTTAAACAAAATAAAGATGATGTGTTTAACTTCCTAAACTCTTTAAAATTAACTTCCTAAAATGTGTTTAACAAAATAAAGATAAACTCTTTAAAATTAAACAAGTAAAATAAGTTTCACTGAAAGTAAAGATGATGTGTTTACATGACGTACATTCTTTTAGAACTCGTTTCTCTACACTATGATACTTTGAGTAATTTTGGGAGTGACTTGTACAAATAGTAAATTACAACACACTGAATTCTATGGCTAGAACTCTTATTTATAATAGTAAAACTAACTATCATTAACTTCCTAAAATCACCCGCCTATGATAAGTGTCGTAAGTGTCGTATTGCATGTAGTCACTTTATTAGATGAGCGCCACTTGTCTTGCTTAGTCATGAGAAAACATAACTACTCTCTCTTTTATTTGAATTTCAAAACTTCACTAATACTCAACCAGCATCCTTGGTCGAAGGTAGTATCCTCAATATTCAACAATTTTCTCTAAGTCCCAAACGCTCAAATAACCCAACCTACTCGAAGGCCTCCCCATTCAAAGTCTTTTACATTTCTTCAAGAGTTTAATATTTTATTCAAATATTTAATCTTAATATGAGCGTCGAATTTGTGAGCTAACAAATTGCCTTCAAAAAATGTCTTTTTCGACCATACTAAAGAAAAAAGACCATTTTTTGACAGCATCCAATTCGACGCCATCTTTCGACCTCCACGTAGGTGTCAATGCAATTGACTACCCATGACTTGAAAGAAAAACTGTTCAGCTATCTTCACGCATGTCCATGATGTCATGGACCATTATACGCAATTTCTTGGGAATTTCACAAAATCTCAGACCATCATCATTCTTTTAGGACCTATGAAATCGTGGGTCTAGGCAATAACTGCCACCGCCCCCATTTTCAGTCTTGGGACGCCGCGTGACCCACTACTCCTAACCCTCAATGATGAATAGTGACTTTTGATTACTTCAAAACGCCTTATAAATAATTCCTCTAGAAATTATTTTACACTTTTCACTCTTAGCAAACTCTTACGCACCTCTTCCAAAACAACTTCAATCTTTCTTCAACAAACCCATTTCTTCCCAAAACTTTATAAATTGCGTCTTCTACTGCTACCACCAAAGATCAGAAGAAAAATCCTCAAGCAAAAGGACTACGATCTGCGTCGCTCCTCCCTCCTTTCACCACATTGAGTGGGCCCAAGATGGTAAAGAACCAACAATTCATCCCTGAACCATTGATAGAAGAAAAAAATGCACATTTACGAATCGTAGGTAATAGTCCCTATCACTATTGCAGGTAAGCCTTTAGCTTTGACTGACCCACTGCCTCCATTAGGAATCAACTACTCAACCCTTAATGACTTTTTTCCTTCTATCGCAAAACAAAACCTCTAGGGCAAAAGGACTCTACCAAGGTACCCACTGAAGGTCCAGATAGCTTGACTCTACACCATGTGGACCTTAAGTACCGTAATGATGGATCCAGGTTGTTCAGAGCCACTCCTTATTTCAAGGATTCTGATCTCTACCTGAACTGGATGACCAAAGCGGAAAAGGTCAAAGCAAACGATTGGAAGGAAACCGACATTTATGATTTAATCATGATGTCGAAAGCATGTCCTACTTATTTCCCTATTATGCTGGCCTCCTCCCTGTACTTCTGGGACAACACCCACTACACTTTCCATCTTCCTTGTGGGATGATGACGCCCACTCTTTTCGACCTAGCCGTTATCACAGGGCTAAAACCTTATGGGCTAGTTTATGATCCTGAAGTGGATTGCCAAGACTCTATAGGATTTTCGACCACCAAGCATACATACACCCATTTCATCAACCATTATCACAACAAACAAATAACAACCGTCGATGAACATGAACATATAGCCTTTCTAGCCATGTGGTTGTCTCGTTGTGTCTTTTGTGCAAAATCTCTGCAGGTGGCGAGGAAGTACCTTACCTTGGCCAATCAGATGCACTTGAATCGAGGCATCTACCTGAGTGAGATGATTTTGGCCTGTTTATACGAGTCTTTGAGCGAAGGCGTTGGTAGACTAAAAAACAAAGAAAGCAACGAGAACCTTTTACTATCAGGGCCCTTCTGGCTGCTTCAACTTTAGCTCAATGCTACGTTCGAAACCAACCTTCCTAATAAAGGAGAAGTTGGTGAAGAAGACCCTGCAATCAAAGGAAGACGAGTCGAATGGACTCGATTGGTCAAGCTCACCCCCATCGAAGAAGGTCACACGCTTAGAGCGAATCTCTTTGGATTCATTAAAATGTTCGCCAAACATCATGAGTTCACTCCACGGATGGCTCATTTCGCAGAGAGAAAATATGGTCTTGAATGGTTTACCAGGCCTTTTCCTCTTGCGTTCAAAAAACACGAAGAAGAATCAAAGCTTGTGTGGGAAGGTTTTTTAATACCTCGATTAATAACCCAATAACTCAACCTCCTAAGAGGACAGGCAACTCTGGTGGCTTACCAGCCAAACCTTGTACCTCGACAATTTGGTTTAATCCAAATGCTACCTAAATGTCTATACGACAAAAAAACCCACATTATCCTCCCCAACACCATCTTAAATACTCGTGAAAGTTCGACGCACCTAGCTCAACATGCTCACAAATCCCTTTTAACACCTGTTTACTTCGAACCCTCTTACCTCTGCACCCAAGAATTCTATAATTGGTGGTCCAGGCACTATACTTCATAATTTCTTGACGTTTCAAGCTTTGTTCGCTTGATTGACCAAGCTTTCATTGATGTGCAGGAAAAGATCAAGAAAGGAGATTGAAACCTTCTAGAAGTACTTTGAAAACACCTATCGACCAGATGATGTTAGTCGAACCATCCACGAGGCTGCTGTCACACTGAAGGAAAATTTTTCGAAGAAAATGGAGAATTTAAAAATCCCTTCGTACGTTCCCCGTGAGAAACGTTATGAGGCAGCTTTCGCCTTATTTCTCCCAAAAATCCCTCGATTGCCAAATGCTGATTTTGGAGTGGCTCTTGCCCCTCCATTTCCAGATTGGTTTATCTGTGGAGATTTTATAAAAATCCTTCGACAGCAATCGAAACCGAAAGCCCAGCGGGTGGTTCCGACTAAACATACGCTCGATAGTTTCAAAGGGCACCTTCATATTGATATCGAAGATGTTCGCATCGAATTTGAAATTCTTGAAGGTCGTCACCCTTCGATTTTGGACTCTTTTATCTGAACTCTATTGTTACTAACTCGTGGCAACATGATTTGTTTTGCAGCTGCCCCTAAAAAGAATGCACCCCAACCACGAGTTGAAGCAAAGACTGAAGGCCATAAGGTAAGCTTACATGCCTCTGTGCTTGATTATTCTTGTTCTTGGTTGCTTCTAATATTCCTTAATGGCTTAGGTTCCTTGCAAGCCACCTTCAACACCTCAAAAGAAGCTTAAAAGAGCTTCTGCTCATATTATTATTGACTCAGAGGATGATGAAGAATCCCTTCCTGAGGAATTACAGCTGAAGAAACGGCGGAGAACAACCCAAGGGACGGAAACTGCTAGAAACCTATCTGAACCCTCGACGACTAAGGTCTTGAAGCTAACTACACATACCCGTGGTAGTGCAGAAATCCCTACCGAGGGCACCTCGAACCCAGCCGTAGTCCCGATCGAAAGTGATAACTCTAGTCCTGCTGACGAGGGTGTCAAGGTAAATTATACCTCAACTCTCCTTGAAGTCTTGGTTTACTTACATCTTATTCCCTTTTATCATGTCTATTCTCTCTTGATTTAGGTCGATGCTGGTGGCTCGAAACCTCCGTTGGACAAGTCTCCTTCTCCAGCCACCATATTTAATAG